CCCGCGTCACACGGCATGGAATCGCGGGCTGGAGTCACACGCGCGGGCGGAGTGGCGTGCGGGCGTGCGGGCGGACGGCGCCTGGCCGACGGAGCCGATGGCGAGGCGCGCGCACTCCGGGAGGGTCAGCCAGCGAGGCGCAGCGGCGGACGCGCGGGCACATGTGTGTGGTCGTGCACTGAGCGGCTTCGAGTGCGCGGCCATGTCTGCTCCTCCTGCCCTGCCCCCCCCTCGCCCCCTCCTCTGCCCGCCCTCCTCCGCTCCCGCCCTCCCCCGCCCGCCCACTCCGGCCTCGCGGGTGATGCCGGACATGCGGAACCACCGGCCATTTTCGTGTTTTGGGCGCCGCCGGCCGCCCGCGCCCTTCCGGAGGCCGCGGGACTCCCCGGCCGGAAGGAGTCGCGGGCGTCGGGGCGATTCGGCGGCGAGGCGAGGCCCCGGGGCGATCCCCTGGCCCGCGATGATCCCAAGATGAAGGCGAGGTGTCATCCGAGGCCAGCCCCCCCTCTCAGCCCCCTACCCCCGTCGACCCTGCCCCCCCAGGCGAGCCCAGGCCCCTCCCCGCGCCCCTGGTCACGTGACCCCGGCGCGGACCAACCACGGAGCGGCGGCGGCGCGGCGGCTCGGGCATTCAAACACATCTCTATCACGCCGTCCCGCCCTGCCCGGCGCGGGCATCTCGCAGTCCGCTCCCCGCGCCCTCGCCCGCACGCCCGCACGCCCGCGCCGCCAGAGATGTGCTCGCCTCCGCCCCCCTCGCTCCCGTGTCGATCGCCGTAGGGCATGTTTCCTCTGTCGACTAGTTACTCTTTATCTTTGAATTTCCTATTTTCTCTTTTCGATTCGTTTTCTTTCTATGTCTCGTCCTTTGATCTACTTTTCGAGTAATATTTCCGTTTTAATTTTTTTATCTTTCGTTGCCATTCTCCTTTTCTAATCTTTCCTTGTCTCTCTTTCCTAACCAATCATAATTATTCAATTTCTTTTTTCCATCATCACACTAATCTTCCTAATCTTTCGTCGTCATCCCAATCTTCTTATCTTCCCTCGTTATTCCTCTTTTTATCATGCTTATCTTTCTAATATTCTTTTTCTTCTGTTCATCTTTCTTTATCATCCCCCTCTTCCTAATCCTTCATTGTCATTCCATCCTAACCCTCCATTACTTTAATCTTTATTTCTTCTTCTTCTTCTTCCTTCTTTCTTTTCTTTCTTTCTTTCTCTCTTTTATTTTTTTCTTCTTTTCTTCCTTCCTTCCTTCCCTTCTTCCTTCCTTCCTTCCCTTCTTACTCCCTACCTACCTTCCTTCCTTCCTTCCTTTCTTTCTTTCTTTCTTCTTTCCCTCCTTTTCATTGCTCTTACACTCTCTTTAATCTTTCATTCTCTCTTCTTCTGTCCTTCTTGCTTTCTTCTATCCAGTCTATTCGTACATTAAAGTTTCCTTTCTTTTCTCGCTCTTTTCTTTTGGTTTCCCTTCTTTTTATCTTCATTTTCTCCCCATCTCTTCGTTATTTTTTCTCCTATTCTATTTGCCCGTTTTTATTCTCTCATATTTGCTATTACATTTTTCTCCTCTCTCTCTTTCTATAATCCCTTCGACGTTTTCTTTTCCTTCTCTTTATCCTTCCAACATTTTTTTCTCCTTCCATTCATCATCTGTTTCATTTTCCTTCGTTGCTCCATCGCTCCATCTCTCCGTCATCTTGTCTTCCCTCTATTTCTCTTTCTCTTTCTTTTACTCTCTCTCTCTCTCTCTCTCTCTCTCTCTCTCTCTCTCTCTCTCTCTCTCTCTCTCTCTCTCTTTCTTTCTTTCTTTCTTTCTCTCTCTCTCTCTCTCTCTCTCTCTCTCTCTCTCTCTCTCTCTCTCTCTCTCTCTCTCTCTCTCTCTCTCTCTCTCTCTCTCTCTCCCTCTCTCTCTCTCTCTCTCGCTCTCTCTCTCTCTAAACATTCTCAGCATTTGCAACCACATTATTTCAGATTTTTCCATGATTTCCAACATTTTCAAAACATTTCAACATTCATAACCACGTTCTTCAAATATTTCCAACATTTACAATGTCTTTTTTCAACGTATTAAAAATCTACAGCACCATTTAGAAATTTTTCCAACGTTTCCACCTTTTAAGACATTTTTGCATCCTACAGCACATCATCTCCTCACATCCTATAGCATTTCATCTCTCCACAGCATCTCATCTCCTCATATCCTAAAGCATCTCATTTCCCCTAATCTTACAGCATTTCATCTCCTCATATCCTAAAGCATCTCATTTCCCCTAATCTTACAGCATCTCATCTCCTCATATCCTAAAGCATCTCATTTCCCCTAATCTTACAGCATCTCATCTCCTCATATCCTAAAGCATCTCATTTCCCCTAATCTTACAGCATCTCATCTCCTGACATCCTACAGCAGCTCATCTCCCCACACCCTATAGTATCTCATCTTCTCAGATCCTACAGCATCACTTCACATCCTACAGCATCTCATGTCCCCTAA